ACGGCACGAAAAGTGCAAAAACGCATAATCGCACCGGCCCGCCTGGTGCGTTCCAGCCTGGGTTGATTCTGTAACGCCCGTCCTGCGGCCTGCTTCGAACTAAACTGGGAAGACATCAGTGTCAAACAGCTCGGCCACTTGGAGCTTCGTAAATGACATAGTTCTCAGTTTAGTCAGAATTTTAAGAGAAATGCTGCGAGTGCTCAACGCACAGTGGGAAGAAGTAACACACTGATAAAGAAACTGATGCAGAATACCGATATGCCCACGATCATTCCGAAAATAAATGTTGTAAACCCAAAAAATTTCAAAACTGCCTATCTCACAAAATGAAGATGTATCACAGTTGTATTACAGAAGATTAGATTTCTAAGAAACAGCCGATTGATACGAAATTTATAATACAGCCGATGCCAAAAGGATCGTACCATACCGGAACTGAGAAGATTATGCCAAAAGGATCGTTTCGAGAAGGTCGTATCAAAAGTATCGTGCCGAAAAGATACCGAAGGAACCAAAAGGATCGTACCGAAAGGATCGTATTGAAAGGATACCAAAAGAATCATACCAAAAGGGTCGTATCAAAAGAGTACCAAAAGGACCAAAAGGATCGTACCGAAAGAATCGAAAGGGTCGTGCCGAAAGGAATCATGCCGAAAGACTGTACCAGAAGGATCATGGTCAAATTTTTACTGTTGCCATGTTAAAAGCACTGACGTTAAGAATACGATGAAACAAGAGGACGAAGACTACATCCCACATACCGGGCGTTGAAAGGAGATGCTTGTTGGTGTGAATCTTTGCTATGCACTGACTGATTCACGAACGGGACATCTGTAACAATTTATAGCAAAAACAGATAGTCATTACCCTAATTATGCGTACGCACTGCTATTAGTTTTTTCCAAACTGACGAATTTCCGCTTGTTCTTCCGGAACAAAGGAAGCCAAATGACGCATAACTTGCCATCATTTTCCGCCTCTATCCTGATTCCTCTTCTGCTCGATACGCAACTACCTCATGTTCATGTTAAGCAAAAGACAGCCACGTATGGCCAAATGGCGCCATAAGGCAGAGGACTAGTATGCAATTTGTAAGCAATTTATTTCTCTCATAGTATGCAATTTATAAGTGATGCTGTACTAGTGATATGGGCTGCTCCATCACTATTCCATAGATATACAGTAACCAGCACCTGTTGAGTTTCGGCATTTACGCTAGTCCAAAAAATGCGTAAAAATAACTGCCGTGCTGTCTTTTAGGATGACTAGTTAAAAGTGTGTTCGATTACTGCACACAAAACTTCAGATTTTAAAATCAAGTAAAACCTAGCTTTAATTTATGCAGTTTGAATGAAAAACGATAGTAACGAGCATACTGTCAATGCACAGATTTAATTGTTTTCATGGAGTGCTGAAATTTGCATCAGAGGGCGAGAATCAGTTAAAAAAAAAGGCTTTTTTTGTGGAATCTGAAAAGCCCAAAGTTTAAATATTTTCAGGTGCATTAACCGTAATCAATCCCGCAGGAACTGCAGTAATCGCGAATCGCGCACCAAAAACATCTGCTAGAAACATACTACCAGTAAAAGAAATCACCATAAAGCCGCCAAGAATACGAGTACTAGCGGCGCCTTCAACAACAAGAACGGCAATAAAGATGGCAATGACGAAAATAGCGACGAAAATAACAAAAAGCATGATAATAATAAGGCCAGCAAAAAATGCAACGACAAAAATAAAACCAAAAACGGTGACAGTTGCGAAAAAAAACACAACTATGACGACAACACCAACAAGCAAGCCAACAACAACCGGAAAACCAGTAATACGAGAAAACACGACAAGGGCAACGACAAAACCAAAAACAGCAATAACAACAAAACGAACAACTGTGATAGTAACAAGACCAACAACAGAAACAACAACAAAACCAACGACAAGAAAACCAACAACAATAAAACCAACAACCAGAGAACCAACAACAACGAAACCAACAACAACGAAACCAACAACAGCGAAAGCGACAACAACGAAACCAACAACAGCGAAACCAACAACAATGAAACCAACAACAGCGAAAGCGACAACAACGACACCAACAACAGCGAAACCAACAACAACGAAACCAACAACAATGAAACCAACAACAACGAAACCAACAACAAAACCAGCAACAACGGAACCAACAACAACGAAACCAACAACAACAAAAACAAGACTAACGACAACAAAACAAACAACAACAACAACTAAACCTAAACCAACAACGAGTACAACGACGACGGTTGCAACGACGACGACAACGACAGAAACAACGTCAACAACAACGACAACTTCAACTACGACAATAATGACGACAACGACAACACCGACAACAACAACAACAACAACAACAACAACTGCAAGAACAACAACCACAACAAAGTTGACAACCACAACAACAACGACAGAAAAATCGACAACGACAGAAAAATCGACAACGACAGAAATAACAACAACGACAGAAATAACAACACCGACTAAGGTAACAACAACGACGAAAATAACAACAACGGCAGAAATGACAACAACGACAGAAATAACAACAACGGCAGAAATGACAACAACGACAGAAATAACAACAACAACAGCAGTGCCAGAAACCACAAAATCGTGGCCGGTAACAGAAGAAACAAAAGAAACAGATTCAACTGCATTCCCTCAAGGACCAGTGGAAACAATGTTCGTAAGAGAAAAATTTCTGTTAAAGCTGGTCAGGTAGCAAATTAATTTCTTGCATCTGAGCTATAATCAGAACTTCTTCCTGTATTTGGTTATAATCAAGCCTCCTTTTGCGTTTAAGCTTTGCTCTATCGCAAAAAAAAAATTTAGATGTGACAGAAATACTTTCCAGTGAGTTAAACTGATGTTGCAATTCAGACACTGTGGGAACCGATCCCTCGAAGAAAGACGCCTAGATAACGGCATGCACATGTGTAGATGAGAGCACGCACGTGCATATGCTCAAACACATGCTTACACTGACATGTTTTCCGCATATTTTGGTCCACACAGCATAAAAATTGCCAGTTAAAACAAAATCCCTTACTGAAGAAAAAGAAGATTCTCACCAAGAAAAACGGGAACTGTTCATTCTCAAGCTGGCACTGGAAAGTCCCTTAGTAACCCCTACATATCTTTCATCGCTCAATAATTTTCTTTTTACAGCCAGGATCTTGTAAAAACTCCGAAATTTTAGACTCATTTTGCACTTCGATATGAAAATTTTGGGAAAACAGGAGAATCGAATTCAGGAATTTTACTCTGTAAAAGTTCTAGCAATGTGTAGTTAAAAAAAAAGAAAAAAAAAGGAATTGCAGGAAAACAACAAAGCGACCAGCTAGACTTGGTTTTGTTACATTTACAAGCATCGAAGCTCGGACGTTATCGGGTAAGAAGAAATAATGCAAGCTTGCTACTTTAATTTCTACATATGCGAAAGGCTGCTCAGATGGTTCTGTTGCGTTGCCAGCGCTGTTTCGTTAATTTTAAAGTCACCAAATCCATGGACAGCGCTAACTTTTATAACATCTTGCTGATAAGGTCACTAGTTAACATCATAGTAAGCTAACATTGTAGTCATATTACATTAGAGTGAAGTTATCGAGAATCAAGCAAACGAGCACCTGCTTTTTCATCTAGTCCATGTTAAATTAGTTTCTGGCTTCCATTCAGTCCGATTCAATATTTTTACAACATTGTTTAGCTAGAAATTTGCCAGATAACAAAAAAATAAAAAGAAATACTTAAATTCGTTGGAAAAAACATTACTTCCACCGTTGCTTTAACTGATCAAATTAATTTGGCTGCTGTGCGTGTTTTTTTGGCTCAAGCACCCGAAACATCGTGAACTAAAGGCGTCCGTCACAATTCCACAATAAAATAGCTTCGAGTTTATGTTAGGGACGGTAATGCCTAAAGTTAGGCTCACTTTTTTATGCGTTTTTGCTATGCTGCTACAGCCAGCAAAAACGCATATTGTCGAGAGGCTGTCTGTTTGTGTGTGTTCGGAATGCGAGTGCATTTTGTCACCCACTTTCAACTCGGCAACCAGGAAAGCTGGG